CCCCAAAACCCCAAAACCCCAAAACCCCACTAAGCATTTATAGAGGCAAAATAGTGGAAATTGAAATTAAATTAGAACATTATTAAACAAATATAGATATCATCATTCGAAATCAGCATTTCTAAGTAAACTCTCAAGATCTTCTGATGCTCTTCCAGCCTTGTTGGACATTCCACTCTTATGAAAACTTTTTTATATTAAAGCAGCTATTTTCTTAGTAGCTTGATTTAGAACATCATTAAGATTAGCCGTCATTGGGTGCTGTTCTCCAAGGTATTTAGCAGCACTCTAAGCAGCCTTAGAATAACTGTGAAGCGATGATTGATACTAAAAATTTATGATTAGATAGCTAAATTACCTGTTTTAAAAATTCTTATTCTACTGCAATATTATGATAGGCAATACAGAGAACTATCATTCTATCCTCTGGCTTCTTTTTGCCTTCCTCCTGCTAACCATCTTATCCAATTGAATTCAGATGATCAATTTTATTAAGAAGCTCATCTTAGATAAGAATTAATGCCTTCATTGCATGCTGTAGAGCTAATTCGTGCTTATCCATCTGACTTAGAATTGCGCAGATATTTAAATGAATATCACAAGGGTTGCTAACTTGGAGACATTCGTCAACTGCTTCATCGCTAAAATGAAGGTAATTGTACTCTATTTCTAGTGCCTTTTCAAGATAATTGAGAGCACTCCTCAATTTTTTAGTCCTTCTGAAAATGCAGGCAAAGTTATTGTAAGTAACAGCCCTAAACCTGTCACTTTCATCAGTTAATGTTTCTGCTTTCCTGAGTAGTTCCAATGCAACATTAAAATTTTCTATAGCCAGTTTTAAGTTAAACTAAATTTACCCTTTTGTAAGAAACTCATCGATAAAATGTTACAAATAATTGCTGCTTCATTTTAAGTTTTCATAACCTAAATCCAGAAAAGGCTAATTTATAATTGAATAACTTACTTGATCAGATTTTTCTCCATATATCTCTCTCTTTAATACAAGCACCTCTTCAAATTTTTTCAATGCCTCCAAATATTTTTTCTAATTGAAAAATTAACTGTAAATTGAATCCTACCTAATCTTTGAGGTGAAATGCTTTTTCCTCTAATTTGACGATTTGAGCTTTAATGTCTCCCATTACTTTAAAATTAATTATGAAATTAACAACAACTATTATAATTATCATTATTATCTTGTTTTATTAATCACTTTTTAAGTTAATATGAGCATATTAAAAATAATCTCTTCAACTGTCTTAATTTGATTGATCTAAGAAACTGCATGCAAAGGCATAGTCCTCAGAAGACTTTTATGGCCCATGTATTTTTCAGGCTTGGCCTTGATATCATCGCCTAGCTAGCATCTTTAATGAGCCTTTCTAACCATTTCTAAGAAACGATCCTCACAGAATGGATGGTAATTTGACATCTAATCTTTCTTGAGCTTTTGTATATCATACTTGTCTTTATTTTTCTTGAGACTCTTGACAGTAATGTTTGATCTCACAACTGACACTTTTGCTGATCTAAGCTTTTGCAGTTCTTCTCTTTTTTCTCTATCCATTTTTCTCTCTTCTGCTTCGCTAGGTATGGTATCGCTCATTGCATTTTCCTTCTTTTGACCTTCTAGATTGTCAGCAAAATGAGGAAGTAATTGATATGCTCTTGAATGTCCATAATCTGCCATCCTCTCCTCGTCAAGTTTATCCAATACTTCTCTATGCAATTTATATATATTGCTATTTTACTTTTTTACTGTCATTTTCTTCTGACCAGTGTGAATTTTTTCTCTTTTCGATGAAAGAATGTTAATACAGACACTTCTTATTATGCTGTCCTTATTTTCTAATTTCCCTCTTAGCATTCTATCTTAATAAAATTTAGCCTTATCAAGATCACCCATATAAAAATATTCCATTGCTATGTTATCATAAGCCTGCATCTCTGCTGTTTAATTTTTCAAATCCCTAAATACATCAAATTATAATTATTACCAAGCAATTTCCAATTGCTTTTTGAAATAGTCAACTGCTATAGCATGTGATCTTACTATTCTGTAGCAATATCCTAACTATGCATAAACTCCCATTTTCTCTTTATATAGTTTGACTTCCTCGCAAAAGTTTTTCTATCACATTTAATAAAGAATTATCTTACCAGCTACTTATAAGCTATAATGGCTTCTTATAAATCTCTATATTCTATGAAGATGTCCCCTTAAGACTTAATGATTGCAAATATGGCTTTGGGCTTTGACCTGTACTTTATCTTACTCAAAAGATCTGAGTAAATGGTCACCATTTTCTGTACTTTTTCAGAATCTGATATTCTTTTCAGTCTAGCAGCTTGCATAACCTACATCGCACTTGTTTGTATAAGCTGTACTTATGAATCTATATTGTCATAATCAGTGATAGGATCATCCTCCTCTAGAATACTTTCATGATGATCTATGTCTATGATCTGCATTGCATCTTGTTGCTTTTGCATTCCTGATCTATTCCAAATCGATAACTTGCCTTCTCTAGGAAAGCTTAATGAGTCTGTTTGCGGAGAATTAATTTTGATAATTTCATGTGCCTAATCTCTTGAGTTATTTTGATTGTTCAAGGGACTTCCAATTGTCTGATTGAACATAGATAGTCTATGATTGAGTGATCTTTGACTGTTTTTAGCAGTAACTGCTGAACCAACTCTTGACCTTTAAACTCCATTGTTAGTTAGGGAAAACATTGATGACTTATTATTGTTTGACTCAGAATCTAACTTAGTAGAGTCATTCATAAGTTTCGATTAATTTTTGTTTTTATAAAATGTATCTCCAGCATTTCTCCTCATTGTAAAATTAGATTTTTGATCAGACTAGTCACCTAGGTTTCTCATTGAGGCAAGTTATTTTGGTTTCCCAACTGTTGCTGAAAAAGGTCTAAAGGGACTAGAAGTCCCTGGAGATTTGAAATCATTAATTTCTAGCATTTCTGAAGTTTAATTTTTAACCATCCTGTGGTTTACTGCTTACTCCATGTACTCTGACAACTAATTTTACTGAATAGCTCTAAGAGTTTCTGTAAATTGCATGTCCTCTTGCCGCATTTTCTGCATGATCTACTCCCTTATCTCTTTCTTTTTCTCCATTTGGTTGATTCTCAATCTTGAAACGAACTACCCGTTGAGCATATCATTTCCCCCGGCTGCTGCAGATTGATGGGTTACTTTTGCAGTCCTAATCTGTCTCGGCTTCATTATTGGATTCTCAGCATGATTCTTCTTATTTGAATATTCAACTTGGTCTATTGATGACTTGACTGAACTGGTTTTGCTCAATGAGGGTCTATTTTAAGCCAGCATGATATTCTGCTGATGAATTTACTACATTTGATTTTTCATTATTTATTCGTAAGTAAGTATATTAACTTCTAATTAATATTATATTGTAAAACGTGATCTGACTGATCATAATGCAGCTAGGGGTTTTGGGGTTTTGGGGTTTTGGGG